GGGGGGGGGGTGAATAGGCAACTACCAATTTTTAACTTTTCTTTATCAAATTAAACTTTGCATCAAAGAAGGTTGTCTAGATGTGCAACTAGGTGAGAAACCTATATGATGCAATAACAACAAGCATACAAGCAAGCAAGAGAAGTAACACTAAAGAGCTTGCATAAGTAAAGGTAAGAGATAACCAAGAGTGGATCCGATGAAGACGAGGATGTGTTACCGAAGTTCCTTCCTTTTGAGGGGAAGTACGTCTCCGTTAGAGCGGTGTGGAGGCACAATGCTCCCCAAGAAGCCACTAGGGCCACCGTATTCTCCTCGCGCCCTCACACAATGCGAGATGATGTGATTCCACTATTGGTGCCCTTGAAGGCGGCGACCGAACCTTTACAAACAAGGTTGGGGCAATCTCCACAACTTAATCGGAGGCTCCCAACAAAATCACGAAGCTTCACCACAATGGACTATGGCTCCATGGCGACCTCAACCGTCTAGGGTGCTCAAACACCCAAGAGTAACAAGATCCGCTAGGGATGAGTGGGAGAATCAAAAATCCCTTGGTGGAAGTGTAGATCGGGGCCTTCTCAACCACTCCCGAGCAAATCAACAAGTTTGATTGGCTAGAGAGATAGATCGGGCGAAAATGGAGCTTGGAGCATTTAATGGAGCTTGAGGGGGAAGAGGTGGGTCAAAGGAGAAGAAGGGGACCCCCTTTTATAGTGGGGGCAATAAACCAACCGTTGCCCCACCAACCAGCCCCGCACAGGGCGGTACTACCGCTGAGAGGGGGCGCTACTACCGCTAGCCTAGCGGTACTGCCGCTCCAGCCAGCGGTACTGCCGCGCAGAGAAGACTAGTAGGGAATTGGACCCAGCGCGGTACTACCGCGGTGGTAAGGGCGGTACTACCGCTCCTGAAACGGTACTACCGCCTCTACAACCGCAACTAGTGCCGCAAAACCCGACATGAGAAAAAGAGCCCTTGAGTCGAGGAGGTAGGAGCCAGATAGCCCAGTGGTACTACGGCAGCGGGGTCATGGGCGGTACTACCGCTGCGGAGCGGTACTGCCGCTTGTGACCCTTCGGCCGTACTACCGCTGGTAGTGCGGTACTACCGCTGAGACATAAAAGAGAGAGAGGATCTCTGCATAGAGGCTGAGGACGAGGTGGTGGTGCCAGGCACCCCAGCGGTACTACTGCTATGGAGTCACGGGCGGTACTACCACTGCGGAGCGGTACTGCCGCTTGTGGCTCCTCAGCGGTACTACCGCTGGGTTGCGTGGTACTACCGCTGGAACCCAGACAGGACATAGAAGAGAGGAGAGATCTCTTCCAAGAAGTGGAAGAGCTCGAAGGGTGAGAAGCTGATGTGTACGTGTTGATTCCACCCATGCAATACCCCAGCGGACCCCCTCTTGATAGTATGGTGCCCTCTACGCAACTAGTCCATCGAGAGAGAAACGAAAAAGCTACAACGTCTTGAATGACACTCCGAAGGGAAGAAAACGTCTCGTGCCAAGGATGAATCTGTGAACTACTCAAAGCACATGATTAGTCCGCAAACATGTTGTCATCAATCACCAAAACTACCTTGAGAGAGATATGCCTCAACAATCTCCCCCTTTTTGGTGGATTGATGACAACTAGGGATTTGCACAAGGAAAAGGTATAAACGTAAGAAAACTAAGAACTACAAAATATAGACGGGCTCCCCCAGAATGTGTGCACCTAGAAAGAGGAGCAAAAGGAAAGCAAGACACACACATCCGGATCAACACTCACCCTATATTTTATAGTCCAACAATTCTAAGCACAAGATATATGAGAGAAGAGTATATAACAGGACAAGCATGCAACTCATAATATACTACAGTACTGAATAGGCATAAGAAATAAGGTAGCGATAGGGAGCATATGTCTCACACCATATGTCTAGAACTTAGGTCTCACGGGCACCAAACCAAACCAAACAAAGACACTGAGAGAACACACAAGAAAACACAAGACGACAAGACGACAAACTCAAAGCTCGGCAACACAAATCCCTACACTCTCTCCCCCTTTGGCAGCAAGACACCAAAAAGGGAAAAGAGCGACGCTACGACTCCAGGTGATGGCAAGCTGAGGATCTCGAACATCATATCTCAGCGTGATCGTCTGCATCTCCGTCGTTGGTCGAAAACTGCTCGGCGTCGGAGTCGGTCCAAGGGCAATGCTGATGAATCCACTCCTCCTCTTCAGTGATCTGACCCTCAGATCCACTGGCAACTGTCACTCCCATCTGACGCATGAGCTCCTTGTGGCGCACCCTGGCATGCTTCTCCGCCACATGAGTCATGTACTGACCATGAGACTCCATGCAGAAAAGCTTCTTCAACTTGTGTTTAAGATTCTTCGCCCACAAGGGTTCAACACTAGAGGGCCCAAGATCCTCCTCGTGATCATCAGTGGCTGCCCCACCCTCGGTCTCTATGGCAGCAGCAGCAGCAGTAGACGGACCCCCGGATTGAGGTGCTGGGATGACCCAATTGTCCTTCTTCCTCAAACGCTTGATCTCATGGGAAACCAAGTCTCCAGTGTCCAACAACACTCTGGGATAGATCTGTGCCCAGGCCCTCTCAATGAGCCTCATGATGAATGGACCATATATCGGGCACTTGCGCTCAGACACGGCAGAGAGAAGTTCAGACCACATGACATGAGAAATATCCAGGCTCTCTCCAGTGTTTGCTTCCTTCTCATGCTGACAGAAAAGAAGCATGTCCACGAGATAAGAGTGGACCATATCCAGATTCCCGATTCGAGGGAAGAGAGTCTCACGGAAGATGCGATGAAGAATGTCCAGATACGGAGACAGCTCATAGGTTTTCTTCTTAGTCACTGGGTGAACTTTCATAGTGCAGTAGGGCCAAAGGGCTTGTTTGTGGGTGGACGTAGCATTGCGGTGAGGGCGGAAACCGACTGGAGTCTCAAGCCCGTGATCCACCACATCAAGTAACTCCATGAAAGCCTTCCACTTGACGGAAAGCAGCTTGCCATAGGTCATCCATGTCAGAGTTCTGTCGACATACGTCCCAAGATGAACGGTGGCAAAGAATTGAGCCACCAAATCTGCATCGAAATCCTTGTTGAATTACATGATCCTGAGAATGTTCAGCTGAGTGCACATCTGAAGGGCTTCGCCAAAGTACTCTGGGTCCTTCTCCATAGCATCAGTGTCAATGGAGCGAACATCAACAAAGAGATTCTTCTTGGCCTTGATCACATCAAAATAGATGGCAAACTGAAATCGGTTCCAGAACGGGCAGTTGACCAAAGTGGGTTCTTGGTCCACCTCATAGGGATTGCGGCGA